TGAGCATCATCAGCAAGGTGTAGTAGCTGCTGATACTGATTTGTCCTCGAGTGTCGAGCTGCACAGTTTCTTCCAGTCTGTCTTGTCCTCTGCTTGTTGCCGGCACCTGGAAAGGTCTTCCATGGTCTTCATGGGCACACCCAGCTTATTCAACTGAGCGAGCAGACTTGTGGCTAGTGTCAACCTTGGCCACCCACGGGGTGCTTTGTTGCCCTTGTCCAAAGAGCCGCTCATGGCTACTTAGGGTGGCGTGTCCGTGTCTGTCTGTAGCACATGACTGGTCATTCGTAGTCGCCTACATGCAGCTGTGTCATGTATTACTACAAGAACTCAACCAAGTCCTCAGCAGTCATGGAGTAGCGGCAGGTTAGGCAAGTAGGGCTGGGGGCAGAACTGATCCACTCCTTGATACAGTGGAAGTGAAATTCATGACCACACTCCAACTTGGATAGAGGACGATCCAGGGCATCCTGACAAATCACACAACTGGACTCATGACTTATTGCTGACGAGTCTACCTTAGCAGGCACTACATTGATGTACTGCAGCTCCATGGGGTGTATTGCCTGGTCTTGATGGTGGTCACCGTAATACACCCCGTTGAGGTACCACTGATAGACACCCTCCTCCTCCTGAGAGATGAAAGCAGGTCCATCTTCCCTATGCCGAAGGTTGTATCGGTACCACTCCCGTACACGATTGTTACCTTCCCTGTGTATAACCGCTGGCGCATTCTCCCTGTGGAGCCTTCCTTGGTGATACCACCGTAGAATACAGCATGTGGCGTCACAATAACTGGCTGCAGGACCGCCGGCTCTAGGCGCCGTTGAGGTAGTACTCGATGCTACCCCGTCCTATCCAAGCCCGTTCATTAACGCGATGAAGGCGACCTTCATAGCACCAGGCGGACACTCCCCTACTATCAACAAGAGCTGGTCCGTCCTCCCGATGGAGTCTACCATCGACGTGCCAAATTTCTTGCTGCGCGTTTTGATCTGCCACCTCCACAACAGTTCGTATTGGCGTCCGCCTTTCTATTAGTAAAGGACCCGTGGTGAGAGACCACGACCGGTCGTCCACGTCTACACCGAATGTATCAGCCATATCTATTTACTGAGAATAATGTAACAACTCCTCCACAAACGCTTCTACAACTGACGTCTTCTTCATCCTGGTTTTTTCCTCTTGGTGGTTTTGGATAAGAGTTGAAAAGTCCAAGAGGTCAACTGATGACCTTTGCGTTACTTGGTATGATTGGGTTTTAGCGGATGATGTCGGTATGCAGCTGGGGAGCGAATTCGACAGGAAGAAGGTAAAGGTCTTGCTTTGCGGTTCACACCTTCACTTCAGTATCATTACAGTCCAAATGGCTTTCACTTGTCACTGTAGCGTTCGAATGTCAGGGGTAATACCCCTATTCCAGCACCTGAGGCGGTGCGTCAAGCGCCGCCTCTTTCTCATCATATATTGTGACAAATGGTAAGTGTGCAGTGCTCCTAGCTCTCTCCCCCGACAAAAGAGCTCTATGACACTGTGCTTTCTGCGGTTTCTTTCGTTTTTACAGTGGAGAAAGGCTGGTGGGAGGCCCAGCCGTGGCCGCACACCTGGCGGGTGCGGCCCATCTAACCCGTTACTGGGAGGGCCGGCAGGTCGGGCTGCTGTTGCAGTCCGACTACCGGGACGCCGTGGAGCGTATTAGGACCCTGTAAGTAAGCACTGCTCTGTCTACATGTATACTTATCCCCCTCGTTATAGCGATACTTACTTGTTTCGTATCCTCTTGTCTTTAATACCCTGCTTCCGTATTCGTGACACTAATAGTGTTTGTGTGCGCTCATGCTTGGTTTTACAGATGATGATGATGTATGAAGGTCTGGACCTGCCGTCTTCGGGATGTGCCATTTGTTTCAAAATTATTTGTAAGTACTTGTAACAGGCATAGTGTAGTAACTGTGTGTGTAGTGTAGTAACAGTGCAGTCGTAATGTGTTTTGTGATGGTCCTGTGCAGTCGTAATGTGTTGGGCTACTGAAGTACACTGCATGAAGGGGTATGTGTGGGTGCTTCGACACATTCTCGTGCTTCCTAAACCCTAGATATGTGTATAGCACTATAACCTAGATGTGTGTGTGTGTGTGTGTGTGTGTGTGTGCCCGCGCATGCATGCGCGTGCGTGCATTGTGTTCTCTTCTACAGACTCATCCAAGTCCATTTAAATAAAAGTGCATTATAGTAAACAGTATTGTGTTTTGTTACAGTGAATATGTGGGGAATGGTGGATATGCCTTAGTGTGACTGGATACGTGCGGGTTGTGACTCTTTGCTGGTCACTCTGGATTCTCCAGTATAGATTCGGTGCAGTGCAGAGGGGATTTGCGGTGCGTAGCAACACTGCTTCACTGTGACACCCCTTCAATAATTGTTTTGATGCATGATACTCCGGGCGTAGCCGGTTGATTCTTACTATATCCCGATCAAAATAGAAATATGCATCTAATGCACCTGCATGGATAGTAGGCATTTCCCAAATCGGCCGGCCGAAAAATTCGCCGAAGAAAGTGGTTTTGAAGAAATTACCCATCTTTTCGCCGAATTTTCAAATTTCGCTTGTTGAATTCGCCGAAAACCGATGTTTCAGTGCTTCAACAGAGTGTGTGTGTAAATGTACATGACGCAATGGGAACGGTGACTTCAAGTACTACGTTGATCCGAGTTCTGATCTTGGGGCTCATAATATGGCCGAATTTGAACATTCTCTTAACCGATCGAAAAGCCGATTAGGCATGCTCTGCATGGGCAACTTGTCAATCAGTGCACATCTACGATGTGCAAATAAAACGAATGCACGGAACGTGAACTTGTTTGCTGCACATCTACGAAGTGCGAATCAGGGAGTAGTATAATGACACGTGTACTAGTACACCTTGTGTTATATACAGAAGCCTTGCTTGGTAGTTAACATGTTTTTCGATTTTGACAGCATGTTACAAGGTTGTAGTCAGGAGCACTACGCGTCTACACCTTGTGTTGCACTGCGTCTTTTCCACACGCATAGGACCACTGAAGGTCACACGCCCCGCGTGCGTATGCACGCATGCGCAATATGTCATTCACTGCATGCAATGCACATCTACGATGTGCAAATCAGGGGATAGTACGTATTTTACTACTCCCCGGTGCGAATGCACCGAACGTGCACAAGTGCACGTTCGCCATCTATGGCGAAAAGAACCTTAAGAATGACATTTATGGCATGCCAGGGGTCAAACGTCAAACTCTGGGGGATCCCGGGGCCAGACCCAGCACGACCGACACAGTGTGCCTTATTTGGACCAAAGGTCAAAGGTCAAAAAGTGTGCCAGAACCTGCCCCTCACTTACTACTTACGCCCTAGGATCCCCATCACCACACACACTTCGCATTACATGCAGGATGCAGCCATGATGGGTCTGTTTTCTAAGAGGGTGAAGTGCAGCGCGAGCTGACATGGACTGCATAACCCACTCAGTCTGAAGCAGATCTAAGCGACACAGCCATCAGATATGATATGACCGTACTGTGCACGTACGTGGGAGGTCAGCAGTCAGCACAGTCCACGCTTACATGTCATGTACAGTAAAACCTGTAACTAACGACCACCGTGACTAGCGACCGGCCTGGTACTACCGACCACTTTGTCAAGCACGGACGGTCTCACATTCAAAATGCACTGTGACTAGCGACTACCTGCTAAACGCGACCAGCGACCGCCTTTTCTTGTCCCAATGTCGAATTTTGACCCGTAACTAGCGACCGCGATGTAGCAAATCAAACATTGCTTGAAGCTCCTTCTCGAAATTTTGATGATTTTCCATGGTCGTTTCGATACTACAGCTGGACAAATGAGCGCAGTCTCATTTTTACTGTGGAATCAGTGTGGATTGCACTACACCTGTCATAATTTCAAGTGCTGTCAAGAACAAACAAGATAGGAAACGTCTTGGAGAGCGCATCCAAAGCGCTCTTTGATCGATGTTACTACTCGAAGGAGAAACTAAGACTGAGCGGCTCTCTGTCGAAGTGCAATCACACAGGTCAGTCACCAGACTCACCCCTACACCAGGTCACACTGACAGTCTGTGCTGGCTAGCTAGCATGCTACGGTATTATGTACTCAGCTGTACGGAACACAGGCCAGGATACGATGGCGGATAATAGCCTACAGTGAAAGGTGCGAAAACTCGCAACATCGCCGCATCAAGTACTGGTACACACTACTCACTAGTACAGTTTACGCTACACTACATCCAAGTCGGAGCGACTGAGTTTCCACTGCAGATCAACACACTGATACCAGTTGCCAGTGTAGTCGCACACAGATGAGGATGGAGTCGATAGTGACTAGTGCACTGCCTGGCCAGGCCAGCGCTGCTCTGGAAACCCAGTCACCAGTGAGTCGACATACGTGTCAAAAGGTCGTATCGCTTTCAGTGTATAAAAAACTTGATTTTGTCTCTCTCCAAGTGTTGTATGATCTGAAAGAAGAATGTCAGTGCGCAAGTGGTGGGGGATTGTATTATCTGCATTTTGACATACATATCATATAATGGGATCCATATATGGTCGCGCGGTGCAAACCTCTAACTAAAGACCACCTGCCACTAACGACCACTTTTCCGGGCACCAAGGGGTGGTCGTTAGTTACAGGTTTCACTGTACATGTAATAATATAACGAATTGGGGCTGTTAATTGAAAATAGTGTGACGTCAATGGGCCCTTTGGATACGCGTGGCAAGGCAAAGCACAATGGACAAACAATAATGGCTAGGCCCAGCGGGATACGGTGATCTTGCTCCTTTCTATGGCTTGCAAGTACATGTACGGTCAGATTCTAAAGCCGTCGCGGATCGTGAAGCCCTTTCATGTGCTTCACCCACGCCTAAAACCTGGTATAAAGGTGAGCGCGGGAACTAGCATTCTCGCAGTTACGTTACACAAGTCAGTAGTGAAGAAGAAATCGGTTACGTTTGGTGTTGATTCACTACTAGCTGTTTACAGTTCTGACCTGTAGTTTCATGAGACTAGTTTTGTTGTAGATCTACAGCGTGTACAGAGCTGATCTACGTGCACGTTGCTATTTGAAAAAGTGGTTTAGCAGACCCTCTGTCAGCACCAGATATTTCGAAATGGACGTATCGGAGAGAACACCGCGCAAAAGTGAGAGTGACCGTCCCCGCCTTCAGGTGAGTAAATTTCATTTCTTCAACCAATTTTCTCAGCGACTGCTTTTATTGAGTATTCAAACTTCATTCGACTCTCACGAGTTAGAGGCTCTGCTTTTTTCTTCTTCAAATCGTGGACTCTGCTGCCGTGTATTTGTATTTTCCAAAATGGTTAATGAGAAGATGTAACCAATAAGTTATTTTGCAGTTGAGTTTCAAATATCTGGTCACCTCGAGACCGAATGCATTTGAGTAAATGAATAGACTCAGATGGAGAGCCAAGGGTGTGTCTTTACCACCATATTTATCAACCATTTGTACAGCTGCAGTGGCGTCTTCAACTTCATTCTCTCTGGAGAGCCAAGGTTTAATTTATACAAAAGAGAAGGACTGGTGGTGTTAGTGGAGAGTATAGCGTTACTTGTAGTTCCTCTGTCTTTCTCTTTTGTATAAAATAAATGAATAATCCAGGTTACCAACACTGCGTAGCCAATGCCCGTCATGTGCTTACACTTGAAATGAACTGTATACCATACATATCTGAGTATTACTCCTTTACTAGTGTTAGAGTTAGATAGTCAATGTGCTCATCTACATGTACATGACATTGTATAAAGACTGACTTGTAAGAGCGAGTCGTAATGCTATATAACGGCAACGTTCACGATGCCACCTTTCCAAATTTACACTAGAAGTAGGCCTGATAATTGATATACCGTGCACATGAACTATCAATGTACTGTTGGACAATTGACTGGCCGGATGACTGAACGGCGACATAGGCGACTTTGCAACTGTAGATTCGTATCTTCGACGTTAGCAACTGGTATATTAGCACTGAGGGTGAGCATACACAAGCGCATATAGTTGATTCTGATGATGTCTTTGCGTTTTGTTTGTTTTTCATGGTTCAATCATAGGAGCGCGGCGTTGCAGGGCTGAGAAATTTATTGTCGAAGAACGCTAATCGCCCCAAGGTAAGCGGCCCCTTCTGAGTTCTGACTCAGCATCCTCGAGGAAAAAAACACGTTTACTAACCCTCAATTATGTATTTCCTTTTCAAACAATGACTGGGGAGTTTTATAACCTTGCTGAAGAGATGTCCAAATCTAGAAATGACTATAGCGAAATTGCCAGCACGTATTCTCCTCTCCACGCCGATATTTGGTTTGATTATGTGGCCAATGATGCAGTATCTACAATATGCGTATTCAGTACTACTATGTATAGACCATAGACACGCGCACACACACACACACACACACACACACACACACACACACACACACACACACACACACACACACACACACACACAAGCACAAACACCCAGACACACACACACACATACTCACACACACACACATTATTATACACACACAAACACACACACACCACACACACACACACACACACACACACACACACACACACACACACACACACAAACACACACACACACACACTTTTGTTTCCTTTGGTTTATATCATTTCATTCCGCTGCCTCAGCAGTACACTCATTGCATTCCCAACTCATCACAACCATGCGCTCTTCAGCCGAACCATTCAGACACCAGCAAGGACACTTCCGTTGAGAGATGATATTATTGTTCCACGCCTCTAGACGGCCGTTTCGCTCCCTGTCGGAGCTCATCAGTAGAGGATGATAATGATGATAATTGAGGAATGATCATTCTTATACACCAGAAATGGCGCAAGTGCGCGCTTTCCACATTATAACAATGGCATATGCAAGCTGCTAAAATGGGGAAGTGTGAGAACAGCGATAAATATTCATAGTACGCGCTCATTGGTGGAGAAACACACCACACAGGCGACGAAAATCTTACGCGGAATACTTTTGCCAATGGAAAGTACATGTATGTTGTTTATTATTATGATGTTGCAATAGCCATGTATGCAGGCGAGGCGAGACTCACCGCCGAGATCCCCCAACGCGACAGGCTCGGTTGCCGATCAGTATTATCTCTCAACGGAAGTGTCCTTGCTGGTGTCTGAATGGTTCGGCTGAAGAGCGCGTGGTTGTGATGAGTTGGGAATGCAATGAATTGAAAATATGGCCGATAGCTCTGTCGCAATATTTTATTCAGCAGTACAACGTACACTAAAGTCTTGTACAGTGTACTTTCGCATCAATACACATGCAAACATGCGTTATAATTATGCAAATGCATGTATATGACTGTATAATAGATCCATGATTACTTCTGCACAGTTCTGCATAGTTTTCACTGATATCATGATATGAGGGCAACTGAATCACTCTCAAGATGACGTCATAGCAACGAATGTAGTAAAGTTATTCAATGAATTTTGAACTGAGTCACTGAATTAACTGTCTTCTCCCTTTGATTTCTATTGAATTTTGTAGAAACAAGCGTCAGATGATAATGAAACAGAAGATATCCTCCAGAAAATGGCAAAGAAGAACGCAGAGATTCAACGGAAATTCGATATCGCTCAACGAGATCGTGAAGAAGCTGCTGCGGTGGGTGCCTCATTCCGTTCTTCCCAATGTAGCACGCAGGCCTCCAGACTCAACGGTTCTTACGGCGCTATGTGTGCGCAAAGTCAGAACAAGCCCGAAACACATTTATCTGAGCAAAATTCTGCCAGTGTGAAGCACGCCAGAATAATGTCCCCGCCATCCAGTCAAATATCTGGTATGTCCTGTAGACGAATCCAGTCTGCCGGGAGCGCTTGTGGTCCTCTTCCGCCAAAAGGACGAGCCAGGATCCGACCACAGTCTTCCCACATGGCTGTCGTTGGTAATGTCGGAGCATCAACTGGGTCACAGGCATCAAGTCAAACTTCTACCATATCCTCGATACAACTCCAGTCTGCGGGGAATGCTCCTTGTCGTCTCCCGTCAAAAGGACGCGGAAGAGTCCGAGCACAGCCTCCAAGCATGGCTGGTGCTGGAAATGTTAGAGCATCAACAGGGCCGCATACTACCGCACATGGACGGATGACGTTGACTCCCACTGAACAACCTGGACACAAGCAGACGGAGAGGGATAGTGATAGTGATTCGTTGCAGACTGCGTCGTTTCCAAAGATAGAGTCGCCGTCCCTCCAGGCCAGAAAGAAGCCTGAATCCAATCGCTTTGCAGGGCTTCGGGGTGCGCTACTCGGCCTGGTAACTGAGATACACGCGAAGAACGAAACATTGAAAGAGGATCAGTCCACACTGTTTTCTGGACATGTGCAAGTGGTGAGTAAGCCGAACAGGACTCCCACCGAACAACCGGGGCACAATCAAAGCGGAAGTACAGATGTGTCCGGCCAGCCGCAATCAGTATAATACACTAAGCAGTGATGTTATAATTTCTCGCCGGCCGAGCGGAGAGAGTGAGGCGAGAAATGATTTCTCCCGCAACAAAATTATTTTTCTTTCGAATATGGAATCTGATGTGTTCTCTTTTTGTTGCTGTTCTTTTTGCCTGACTCTTTCAGTCAGTGTTTTGTGTCTCACCAGTGTCTCCACCCTCCCACCCTTCATGTCTGCCCATCTTCTTCCATTTCTTTCTTGGCTGTAGATATGTTGTTCCTGTTTTTATGCTGCCATGTTGCAACTTGGGGATATCCACCCGGTTTTTTCCCTCATTCGTACGTCCGTCGGCGCGAGGGTTTTTTCCCGGCTGGCTCGGTCCAGAGAAATTAATCTGACGGTCCCAAGCGGTGCTTGTCCTGGCTTATTTATGTTAGGTGAATGTACTCATTCTTTCTTCCTGAGGTCTCTCCATCTGTTGCTGCTCTTAGTTTTCTTCTGCATTCCGGTTCACATCTGGGTGCGGGCCACTACCATCACTCTGTGTGCTCCTGCCTCTGTTGTCTGGGTCCATGTCGTTATGTCGGTGTATGTGGAGCGAGAAGAGATGAAAACTAAAAAAACTAGCACTTAAGGTACTGAGGTATAAGAGGTGTTGGAGTTAGATGTCAGGTTGCCGAATGTCTCAGTACTCCTTGCCAGTTTTGTGCCATTTTGTCGCACTCGCTGACTGTACAAGATCTGGTTACGTTGGTGGACAGTTTGTCATAACTCGTAACATTTTGTCCTTTTCCTTTCTTCATCATACAGAAAATTATTAGTATAAAAGATTTCGAACAAGACATTCTTGACATCCTGGGACTGACGGAGCCCAGGATGAACGGAGGCAGCGCAGATACGTAGATCTACGACAACGGACTTGTTCTGTATAGTTCGGGTGGTTCGTCGTCCAGAGCTGGACTGGAGTTGATCTTCTCACCAACAAAAAAAACTAGTAAATAACGTGGATCAGTCGGGGAAGTGAACTGCCTGAAAACAGAACCAATCGCCAGACCCACCAGGACTCAAACCTGGGAAGTGTCTTGTCAAGAGTAATGCTCTAATCACCGAGCTATGGGACCGGGCTGAACCTAGAAGGCGCTGAATAGCTTTTCACTCCAAAGCCAGCTCACACCTCGTGCCACACATACTGATGGCCCTTGGGTCTTTTTCCCTCCCCCAGGGACCAACCACGGTCAGTTTCTGGACCCGACAAGAAATGAAAGAAAGTGATTACTTTCTGGAAGGATTCGGAGAACTTCAAATTTAAAGGTTCTAGGTTTTCTAGGTTCTCTAGCTTTTAGGCCTTCTAGGTTCAGCCTGGTCCCATAGCTCGGTGGCTAGAGCATTGCTCATGACAAGCAAGGTGCCCAGTTCGAGTGACTGGAAATACTCTGCGGCACCAATAAACTCCAGCGGAGCATTTGACGCTGTTGTTTTTGAGAAGGCATTGGCACGGTTGTCAGACTCTGGAGCTGGCACTGATGGCGTTGCCACTCTGATCTCGGACACCATAATTGTCATTATTACTATTATTTACGAAATAGAGGTTGCGACTCTGGATGGCAGTCGTGAATCATTCAACTGTCAAGTAGTCGGCGAAATAGCACGAGCTACAGTATGGGAGCAAACCCATTCCTAAACCAAAATCAACGCCGAAGTCGCAACCTCTATTTCGTACTGTTGTGCCCAGCGCGGGCGTGCGACTAGCTGGTTTGGAGGTGAAAACGTTGTGAATGACCAGGGTCCTATACGTCTGTTCTCACCGTCCAGGAGCGATAACTGACTCACGCTGCTATCTGGTGTTCACGAGGTGTTTGTCGCGCTGGAAACGGAGTGTATCTGTAAATGTGTATCCCTGGTGATGTTTGTGCCTGGACAGCACTATATAAGTGGTGCTCTTCAGGCACAATCTTCCTCAGCCTACTCAAGCTCAACTGATGAGGGGTGAATTCCCCGAAACACTGTGTACTGAGCAGGGAGTGGTGCTTTCTCGCAGGTTTGCCGAGTCGAAGGTTCGAGGGACTTCTCGTATTCTCTGGATGGCAGTCGTGAGTCAGTCAAGTGTCAAGTCGTCGGCGGAATAGCGCGAGCTCCAGTGTGGCAGCAAATCCATTCCCAATATTATTATTTATTCATATTTTACTAGGGGAGTTCCTGAAAACGAGTAATTCTAGCAGTGCGGGATGATGAGACAGCACGAGGAGTGAAAAGTCGGCAAAATAGGGGGTACTACACTAGAACGAGCATTTATGCATTTTTGTAGGAACACATAGAGGTTAGCAGAATAGCGAATATTTAACGGTGTTAGGTGCTGTCTAGCCAAGAGGGGTTGGATGGAGGCAGAGGGTGGGAAGCCAAAGACAGTGCAGATCGCCCGATTCGTAATGCTAACGAGAGAGCTTGGAAGCTTAGGGCCCTACGCTATGATTTTTTGCCTTGATGACCTAGACAAAAAAAAGCATAGGGATGTTATAAATTATTAAAAAAAGGATTTTTTTAAAGACATAACCTGGGATTCGAACCCGCACTATCGCGCGCCCTGCATACATCCCCCGATACACTTCGCATACATACTAATTCTTCCAAGTTGCTTCACGTTACGATCTTGCATTTGAAAGCCCTATTTGAATATGCATTGTGGCCAGCCGTCTTTGATGGTACGGTACGGTACGGGATAGGTACGGGACATGTACGATCGAGGGTAATACCAACCTGTCTACCGCCTTGATGACGGCAAAAAAAGCATAGTGATGTTATACATTTTTCAATTCTCCTGGGTTTTTTTCAGGCATATCCTGGGATTCGAAACCGCACTATCGCCCTACATGCATTCCCCCATACACTTCGCATTCATACCCATTCTTCCAAGTTGCATCACGTTATGATCTTGCGTTTGAAAGCCCTATTTGAATATTGCGGCCAGCTGTATGTGGCCAGCTGTGTTTGATGGTATGGTATGGTACGAGACAGATACGGGATAGCGCCAGGCGTGGCACAACACACACAAACAAACAAACAAACACCCAAATACCCAATTAAAGCTGTGTGGACCCTGGCTAGCGCCAGACGTTACTGAAGTAACGACTTCTGCATAGCTACGGGAATAAGAGCGTTATAGGTGGTCTGTCGCAGGCAGTGCACGTACGCATTGCTCGCACGTACTCCAGGGTAGATTGGACAAATGCAAGATAGAAAGTTCGCTTGGCTCTAGCACTGAGAAGGTGGCGGCAACGGCGAAAAGCATTGACCTTGGCACTAGCTTTACTTCCAATGTTACTTACTTGCTGTTGAAACGACAGATACTCATCTATCATGATGCCCAGGTACGTGGCTTGCTGCGATTGCTGTATACGGCTGTTGCAGAACTGGACTGCACAGTCTGCATGTACATTGGGTTTCAGTAGGGGTAGGAATTGTGTCTTGGATGTGTTCAGCTGCATTCCACGGGCCTCGAGAAAGCTGCTCACCCGGGTCAAATCATGTTCCAAGGTCTCTGTGGCAGTGGAATGGGACGAATCAGCAGCGTAGATGTTGGTGTCATCTGCATACAGGAGGCAGAGGGATGAACGCACCAGTAGCACGAGGTCGGGAGGGCACAGGATCACAGCAATTATCATAGGGTGACACCACCACTACTTTAGTGCAGTACATTGTACATTGTATCAGTGGCAGTGTATTGCTAGTACGCGTACAATTATCGACGACCATGGCCAACGTCCCCATCTGCATCCACAGCTAGGAACCTCGTGCTACTGGTGCGTTCGTGTCCCGTCATTCGCGATTTAGGTGGATCTGTTCGCATTTGGGGGGAAATTCCCCTGTTCTAATTTCTTACTTTTACGACGGGGTAGCAACAGTAAAGGTTTTTCAGAACCGCTCACAGAGCGATTTTTATACGGATAATTTCAGTTCTTTTTCCGTTCCCTCCCCACCCCAACCCCGAAGGTGAACATGATGAGCACGCGCGCGATGTACTGTATGTAGCCATGAGACTGCAATAACACACTGATACATACCAGCCCTCCCCATCTCGCTACCCCGCACACAGATACACAAACACGCGGGTGCACACGGAACACGCATGTGGCCACGCACACATACGCACATGCACACGACACAAACAGGAAATTCTTCATGTATAATGCCATGCAAAGCAGTGGCCACCGTACTTCAGGAAGTCAGATGTGAAACAAAATAATTCAACTACAGTCAACTTCGATAATAAAGACTGCGGATATAACGACAATTCGCGAATAACGACAGAATTTCCATGCCCAGAGCAAAGTCCCATCCAACTGTAATACAATCATATAATGGGACTTCGGGTATAACGACACTTCGCGAATAAGGACACTTTTCTGATGCCCCGCCGAGTGTCGTTATACGTGAAGTTGACTGTACAATGTGTAGACAAGCTGACGGCCAAAGCACAACATAGCAAACATGACATTTGCTCAAGGATTGCAGTTTGCAGACCACGCCATGGAAGCAGCGAATACAGAATGTAATTATCATACAAAGTGACAAGCAAGGAAGTGGCCACCATACACCAGAAACTTGCAGAAAGTCACATATCCAACAGATAGAGAAGTGAACAGCAATCTGGTACAGCCCACACAAGACAAAGCTGACCTGATACTCGTACCAGGATCGTAAGTGGCAGATCCTTTCCAATGCATAACATGCAGGTGTACGTTACACGCATGGACAAAGTCTGACCGTGTCGCCAGCATACAATGTCATCACAAGTATACCCCACAACTTACACACATGAACAGTAGAAGCACAATGATAGCAATGGAAAAGTACGATGTGGTTGCTGAAGCATCTTCACACTTCAAATTTAGACTTCAATGTGGTCGTCACAGGATGATATACCTGCAAGATACAAGTGATGCAGAAAGAAAGCAGAAGGTCATGACGTAGGCTATGAGACACCACAAACGGGTCACCTACATGTTTGTTCAGGGCTAGTGCACTCACATGCAGAATTATCATATTCGAGCATTTCCCAAACTGAGAAGTGCAATGAAATCCACTTGCATGCAGAGGAGCAATTTTGCAGTGTGATGCGTAATTTGACACGATCTGCGATGCTGCATGCGATGCAAACTCGCGCAAAATATCATTCACGGAATGACTGCAAGAGGTCAGTGATGCAACAACGCCCTGCTGACATGTGTCTCAAAGCTCAACAAGAACCTGCGTTTGTCACCATGGCACTCGCATAGCCGGTACAACTGGTACAAATGTGCAAGCAATTCATGAGCCTTTCTCGCCTCCTCAGATAACCACTGCAAGGCTGCGACGACAACCTTCGGCCTGACAAGGTGCTTCCAGACAATCTTCGCAATATTTTTAGACAAGGTGCATCCAGACAATCTTCGCACTGGTTGGTACACAGTTCACTATGATGTTTGTATTGTCAGCACACAAGTCATGCATGAGATGCGGG